GGCCAGGGATGGGGGCGTTGAAGTTTGGAAAAAGCAGGGTGTACGGTGTACATCAGAGATTCTGGTGGGCATTCCAAAGCATGATCACTTCAGTTCAATGAGGGTGACTTCTGTGACTGATTTTCGGTTTCAAGCCCCAGGTATAGGTGAGGCGCTTCCGTTCCGCCGCATCACCCTTGCAGGGCAGGCCCAACGAGGTTGATTGTCAGACGCTGCCTAACGTTGCTGTCTGAAGAACAAAAAAATCTTTCCATGTCCAGTTTATAGACCACCGGAACCGCAGACCGGACCACTGGACGAGCGCATCCATGAGAGGAGGGGAGCAGCGGACCGCGGACCAGCGGACCAGCGGACCAGCGGACCAGCGGACCGGCGGACCAGCGGACCGGCGGACCGGCGGACCAGCGGACCAGCGGACCGCCGGGCCAGCGGACCAGCGGACCAGCGGACCGGCGAACCGGCGGACCAGCGGACCAGCGGACCAGCGGACCGGCGGACCAGCGGACCAGACAACCGCACGATCATAAGTCACTTTGTGAACCTCCATGTGCAGAATTCGTGGCAGGTGTAGCACTTTGTGAACCTCGAGGTGATTTCGTGGCAGGCGCAGCACTTTGTGAACCTCCATGTGCAGATTTCGTGGCAGGCGTAGGACTTTGTGAACCTCCATGTTCAGTGTCAGGATTTTTGTGCATGGTGGAGAGTTAGTTCAGGAGCTGGTTTGAGTGGATGTCTCGATGTGTCGGTGGTTTGTGTTGACACCGGTAGTTTGGTCTATAACGCTAAAAAAGGCTTCCATATTCGCGGCTTGTTGTGATGCAGGATCACGATGGCGGCAAGGTCTTAGTTTGGGAGCGATCGTTCCTGGGTACATTGCCGCCCGAGTCGGAGGCGGCTAAGGAAGCAAAGAAAGAGGAGGTGGCTCAGGAGGCAGAGGACTAGGTGGTCTCCTGAGGGTGGGTGCTTGGAGCTTGTGGCTTTTGTGCAGCTTGCGTGACTCCACTACAGGCAGATCGAGTCGCTGACACAAATTCCGCATCAGATCTTTAGAATGAGTTGCTGACACTAGTCTCACAGAGGTCGTGTTCGGGGGACAGTCTTTTGTTCAAGAAGCTATCGCTATTCCTTGCGGCGCAGTTTGGATGAAATCCTTCAGTTTCCCTAGAATCGAAGGAAGAACCACGAAAACTAAGACGCAAGATGAAGAAAGTCATAGGGCCACACCAAGGGAGGTTCAGTGACCGTAAATAGGGCCCGTAACCTGAAGTACCTATGCATGGGATAGTCTGTGGGGTCCTTCAACCTTCAGGCCACAGGATGGCAGGCCGGATGGCATTCTGAGGTGTCTTCTGACAGAAACATTGCTTTTGCGCCAGGCGTACTGGATGGCGATGGCCTGGCAGACAGCCTCCCGCCCAAAAAGTCGTCCGTTTTCGAGGAAAAGACGGCGCGGCGTTGGGTCCTTAAACTGAACAGGTCATGATTTGCATCGCGAAACATCCTAAGTCGGGCATCATCCTAAGTCAGTGGATTTCTTGGGTAGTCTTGATGTATACAATTAGTCAATATGTTGGCCTTCTCTTCAAGGCCTTTCTTTTGTTTCTTTCTCCTTGTTTTGTCGAGGCTGAGCTCTGCGACGGCTTTTTTATCATTTGGTTCGGACAAGGCTTGGCGTGGGTTTCACGATATCCAATAGATTCCATTGGATATGGTGTCCCTGAAAGTCAAAGACACTGATGACTTTCTGACACAGTCAAGGAATTTCCTGTATTTCAGCCGGTGAAAGTATTTATCGTCGAACTAGACTATTCTAGGGGTATGGTGTGATGCGTCTGAGCTTTTGACTCTACACCGGGCGGTCCCGAACGCTTCCGTGGCCGATATCCATCAATATTTTTGTATCCATGGTGACCATGCACCGTTGTTGGACGCCTTTCTGAAGCTTTCTGAAGAGATCAAACTGCGCACAGCACACTTTGGCCCACCCACGGAGTGTGTGTGCGGATCTCGGACCGGACGGAAACGGGTTTGGCGCCCAAGGACGCGCGCTCCGGGTCAACCTCCAAGAACCTAAGCTATTCCAGATACTCCTTTAAGGGGCTCTGATATATGTTCGGTCACCCCACGTCATATATCTTTTAAATCAGAAGGGAATAGATGGCATGTGTCCAACCATTCCTTCAACGGCCCGGAATCCCGATTGCCTTTCGGAACGGAACATACTTCCGGAGGCGTCTGAGACCGTCGGGTGGCCCAATCTCATCCAGGGCTCGTGGATGCTCTGCAGGCAGGGGTCAGGGAGATCAGAAATGCATGGTCATGGAAGTACCATGAAGACCCTAAATTTTTGAGGGGGGCAGTACTTCCACTAAAATGGGTACGGGTTCACTAGTGAAATTATCCATCAATAGTGATGCCTGTCGGCTTGAACGCTCATCTGCCTACTGCCCACTCACCGGTCCCGGTCCGTGCATCGCCGGCCGCGGCATGTCGCGCGTCTCACCTGGAATCGTCTTGAGAACTCCAACGCACTCCATGTTTTGCAATAGTTCGTACGTCAGGTTCCAGGATATATGCAACCTTTCAACTCCTGCCCTGTCATGCAGTGGATAGCCATGGATAACCTTTAAGCTTTTTTTGGGATTGGTTTCCCCACGTTGAATGACGGTTTCTCCGATGACGGTTTCTCCGAAGCCTCCCATGACACCAAAGACTAAAGCTATTTCATGCTACTTCCAAGGTCAGAATGATCAGCGAGATTGCTTCTAGTAATTAGCGACGCCCTTTGTTCCTAGTAGTGTCCTTTGTTCCTAGTAGCGACGCCAGGAGCTACGGCTGGTAGTAATGGCCTCCACCTAGTAGCGTCCGTGCTCCTAGTAGCGATGCCCTTTGCTCCCGGTAGCCCCTAGCAGCCTCCATTCGTAGCGTCCCAAACCTTTGATCTCTGAGACCTTGGTGAGCCACCAACTGCTGAGATAAACAAAGAAACCCGCCATTCCGTCCTTGCTCCTAGTAGCGATGCCAGGAGTCCCTAGTAGCTTCTTGCTCATGGCCAGGAGCCCCTAGTAGCAGAATATAACAAAAGCATTCTGCTTTCAGGAATGCCAATGGTGATTTGGAGTGTCCCCAACAGGCTCCACAGCGGAATGGGCAACAGTCCAACGCGCAGATTTCGTGGCAGGCGCAGCGTCTGTGGAGCTGGAAGCTGAGAACTGGCGACTTTGTAGTGCAACTTTAGTACGCGGAGTATGCGGATCTGGAAGATGAAAGCTGGGCGACCTTGTACTTCAACTTTAGTACGCGGAGCAATCTGTGAAGCTGGAAGCTAAGAACTGGCGACTTTGTAGTACATCTTGAGTACGCGGAGTATCTGGGGAGCTGGAAGATGAGAACTGGCGACTTTCTAGTACAACTTTAGTGCGCGGAGTATCTGGGGAGCTGGAAGATGAGAACTGG